ATTGTATCTTCTACACCTGAGATTCTTTCTTCCATCTCTTGTAGTCTGTTGGTTATGCTTACCTCTGTAGTTCCTGTTCTCTTCCCTATATTCTTCCTCTCCATTATTTCCTCCATTTGTGTTTTCTTTAATTTTTCCAGTTCTATCTTCAGGTCTTGATTTCTTTTGTTTACTTCCTTCACCTGTCTGATTGTACTTTCCTGTTTTTCTTTTAGTTCCTTCAACTCTGTTTCTTTTATTTCATTCAGTGCTTTAAGCATTTCCTTTTTAAAGGCCATAAACTGTTTGGCTGCAACTTCCTCTATTTCTTTATGGATGGCAATATTCTGTTTGAGTTTATCTTCCTCTATGTCTTTACATATCTTATTTGTTTCCTCTGTTATCATCTTCATGAGCATAGTTGTTAGGTCATCTTCTTGGATATCAGTTATGCTGGGGTGTCCAGGGCTACTTGCCCCTGTGTAACTGGGTTCTGGAGATGCAGTATTGCTCTGTCTTTTGTTGCTTGAGCTTTTACACTGGCCTCTACCCATTGTGCTACCTTAGGTGTTTGGGGTTATTTTCTGGTGGTTCCTGGGGATTCTATGGTGGAGAGAATCCCCTTGGCAGAAAGCTGGTTTTTCCTGAAGGAAGTCTTCTCAGCTTTTTGGGTATAGTCCCTGGATGGCTGGCATTTTTTCAGGAGTTGCTGCTGCTCACCTCAGGGATAGAGACCTGAGTGGTATCTGTGGTCTTTGTTAGTCTAGAGGGTTCTCCTCTCACCCAGTGAAGTCCTGAAGACAGCTGCCGTTTTTGGGTTTCTTGCTGTAAATTTAATGATCAGCTGCTGTGACCCAGTTGGACATCTGGCACACAGCAACTGTTTGTGCCTGTGTCTGGAGCACAGCTGAGTGATGGCAGCATGGTCCACCAGCCTGCGAGAGTTTTTCCAGGGAAGGCTTGGGTGATTTAAGTCAGTACAGTGTTCTTCCTTCCTTGTGGATTCTCTGGAGACAGGGACTCCCAGTCTCTTTTTTGCCCTGAGGCGCACCACTCAGTCTCCGCCAGCTAGCTGGCATGTAGAAACTGCCTATGTCTGCCTTTCCAGCCTTTGGGAGCCTGGGTGTCTGCCTAAACTGGGTGATTTTCCTGAGACCTTTTTGGGATGGTGGTATCAGCTGAGTGCTCTGAGATCAGACCAGCCGTTCCCTCCCTGTGTGTTTGCACTGGACAGTGAAACGCAGTCTCTGGTGCCCTGGGGCCCACAGTTCTATCTGAGACAGCGAATCAGGTGGGCAGGCAGGGCTCTCTGCAGGCGCCTGGGTCCCTGGCTCTGGCTCTGGGCTGGCTCCTGGGTTGCCCGTGGAACCCGAGTCTTTTCCAGGGGATGTCTGGGTGACCTAAGGTCGGTCCCAATCGTTTCCTGCACCGTGGGGTTATCTCTCGACTGAAAATTCCAGTCTCTGATAGTGTGGTGTGCACGGTTCAGTCTGGGACCATGACCAGAGACACTGGCGTGTGGCTCTGGGCTGGGGCTGGCAGCCAAGCGTCTGGCGGAACCGGAATCTCTTCCACGGTTTAGCCAGGTGAGTTAAAAGCTGATTGAATCCCCCACCGTGGGGTATCCTCTCACCTGGGAAACACAATCGCCTATGTTTTATGGCCGCGAGTTCTGATTGCTGGTCACTGTGCCGATCCTGCTGTGCTGCTGGTCAGAATGAGAGTCCTCCTGGCGCCGCCATCTTGCCCCCTTAACTATTATTTTTCAAGAGTGGTTTGTTCTTTCCTGTGGCCTCATTTGTTTTTCTCTTCCATCTGACTGATTTCTTCGAGTATCTTCTATTAAGCTGAATTAGCAGCCATGAATTCCTTTAGCATATTCATATTGTTTTGTTTTAAGGGTGTCAAAAACATTTATTAGAATTATACAAATAGTCCTTCTCAAAGCAAAACGTAATGTATATGGCATTACTTGAAAACAGCATATATAACTTCTACACATTTGTCCTAAATATTAAACAACCAAGAGGACAACATGGCCAGAGAAAACCCACAAGAGGAAGGCCTAGAGCAATGCTATCTTCAAATTGTTTATTAACAGCAATATTGATATAATAATAATGCTGTGTAAATATAAAATTTTAATGTTATTTTTATAACTATCATTTTTTGAGTTGTAATGGTTCAATGAGACTTAAGATATCTACTAATAATTCCAATTTTTCTTCATACATTAGATAAACTTTAATATAATATTATGTGAACATAAATGTATTTGCAGGAAAGTTTTTTGGTTATGGATTTAATTTCATCCCTAACTATAATATTTAGACTTCCTATTTTATCATAATAAGTTGTTTCTAAAAATAGTTCCAGCTCAATATTTGACTCTATCTCTGTTATTGGACTTACCAAATATAAGGTCATTTAAATGGTATTATATTTTTTAAAATCAATTTACTTTATATTCCAAGGGAAGCTTCCCATTCTTTATTTCCTCCCAGTCCCCCTTCTCCTCTCTTCTCTTTTACCCCCATTTTCTCTCCCCTTTCTCCTCAGAGAAGGGGAAGCCTCCCATGTATATCAGCCTTCCTTGGAATGTAAAGTCAAGGTAGAACTGGACACATTTCCTCCTACTGAGGCTAGACACAGCAGCTCAGTTAGGGGAAAGGGATCTAAAGGCAGGCAAAAGAGTCACAGACAGTCCCTGTTCCTTTTGTTAGGGGACCCACAAGAGAACCAAGCTGCACACCTGTTACATATGTGTAGGGGCCCTAGGTCTATCCCATCCATGCTCTGGGGTTGGTGGTTGAGATCACCACCAACCTATCGGCCCAGGTTAGTTAATTTTGTAGGTTTTCTTATGGTGTCCTTGACGTCTCTGGCTCCTTCAATCTTCTGGCCCCCTCTTCCACAAGATTCCCAGAGCTCCACTTGGAAATGGTGGGTTTGGCTGTGGGTCTCTATATGTTTTCATCAGCTTCTGGGTGGAACCTCTCAGAGAACAGTTATACTAGGCTCCTGTCTGCAAGCACAGCAGAGTATCATTAATGGTGTCAGGGCTTGGCTTTCTCTCATGGGATGGGTCTCAGGTTGGGCCAGTCACTGTTTTACCATTCCCTTATTTATTTCTGTGCCTCTTATAGGCAGGACAAATTTTGGGTCAAAGGTTTTGTGGGTGGATTATTGTCCTCATCCCTCCTTTGGAAGAAGGTCTTGCCTGGTTACAGGAGGTAGCTATTTCAGGTTCCATATCCCCTGTTTGCTAGGAGTCTTAGCTAGGTTCACCCTCATGAGTCCCAGAAGTTTCCCTTGTTCTAGGTTTCTGGATCATTCCTGAGCTCCCCCAACCCCTGCATAGGTTTCAGTTCTCTCTCCTTCAGTCCTTCTGGAACTTGATCCCTCCTATTCCATGCCCACCCCTTTTCCCACCTAGTCTCCCCCTCCATCTAGCTCCTATGTCTATTTTATTTCCCCTTCTAAGTGAGATTTAAGCATCTTCCCCTTGGGCCCTCCTTGTTACTGGCTGTTTGGGGTCTATGGATTGTAGCATATCCTGTACTTTATGGCTTATATCCACTTATAAATGAGTTCAGACCGTATGTGTTTTTCTGCTTTTGGATTACTTCACTCAGGATGATCTTTTCTAGTTCTATCCATTTCCCTGCAAATTTCATGGTGCCCTTGTTTTTAATAGCTAAGTAGTATTCCAGTGTGTAAATGGACCCTATTTTCTTTATCTATTCTTTTGTTGAAGGACATCTAGGTTGTTTCCAGTTTCTGGCTATTATGAATAAAGCTGCCTTTAGCATATTTTTTATTGTGGAAAGTTTTTCTTTTGTCTTCAAAGATGGATAACTTAGTTAAGCATCACATTCTGTGTTGGCAGTCGATATCATTCAAGATTTGAAATATAGTGTTACAAGCTCTTCTTGCTTTAAAGTTCCTATGGAGAAATCTGTTATTCTGATGGACCTGACTTTATATGTGACTGGATGCTTCTCTGGCATTTTCAATGTATTTTTTTTGTTCTGTATATTTAGTAGCTTAATTATAATATAACAAGAGGAGTTATTTTCTGATCTCATTTTTTTTGTGTGCTAAATGTCTCTTATGTCTGGATTGGCATTATTATTCAAAATTATTCAAAAAGTAATTATTCAAAAAGCTCTGCTTTGATTTTGCTGAAAATGTTTTCTATGCCTTCAATGAAAGTCTTCTTTTTCTTCTTCTATGCCTGTGATTCTTAAATTTGATATTTTGTGACGTCCCAAATGTCTTTAAAGTACCCCTTCTGGTCATGTACTAATCGTCTCTGTCCTTGGTGGAACACCCCAGTTTCTCCACTTTGTCTTCTGACTCAGGGGTTCTGGCCATTCTGTTGATGAGGATTTCCACAGAGCTTCCAGGCCCTGTTGTGTTTTTCAATTCCAGTATTTAAGTTTGGTTTTTCCTCAGGGTTTCTGTTTCTTAATAGAATTCTCTTCTATATCTTGTATTGATTTCCTTACTTCAATTCATCTTTTTGTGCTCTGATGAGATTTATTCACAGGTTCTTCTTCTTCTTCTTCTTCTTCTTCTTCTTCTTCTTCTTCTTCTTCTTCTTCTTCTTGTTCCTCCTCTTCTATTTCTTCTTCTTAGTTTCTTTTAACATAATCATTCTTTGAAGTCTTTATCCTGCATTTAATCTAAATCCCTCTGATTGGAGAAAATTACTGTGGGGTTAGTAATTTTTAGAGGCATTACACAGCCTTGGTTTTCATGTTTTTCATACTAGGATTTATATATCTGGGGTTATTTCATCACTTGGACTTTTTATTCATGCTATTCCTTTGGTTGAAGTATTTGCCATGTTCAGGTGGGTTATGTTGTGGTTGGGTTGAGGTGCATAATCCAGAAATAGTTCCTCAATTCAGGAACCCAGAATGCCAGCTTCAGTCTCTCTACTTCTCTTAGAGTATTGATTGTGGGAACAACCACAGATACTGCATATGTCCACTACACAAATGTTACACCAGCTTAGTAATAACAGTGGCCCATAACGTCAGTGACTGTGTGTCCAGTTTAGTTACTAAGACTAGGAGTCAGAGAAATTGGAATAGATGAGGATAGGGATTAGTTTTATTAATAGATCAACACTGAAAAAAAGGTAGAAAAGTAACTGGGAAGGAGAAAGTTGAGATACTATTAAGGTCCACAGATTCTAGAGTTTGTTAAAGCTAAGGAAACTAAGAAATATAAAAATGAGGGCTAAGAAAGAGACAAAGAAGAAAAAGAGGTAGGAAGAAAAGAGTATATGAATTGAGTGTGAGAACAAGAGTAAAGAATGCTGGTTAGTAAACGGAGTGAAGAAACATCTAGAAAAATGTTAAAACCCAACTGAGTAGTGTACAAATTAAGCATGACTATTGTCATATTATCACACACATAATTTTTAAATTTTTATTTATTTAATCACTTTACAACCCAATCCCAGCCCCTCCCTCCTCTCCTCTTAGCCCTGCCCTCCTGCCTCCCTCACCCCCAGCCCCTCTTCTTCTCAGAGAAGGGAGGCCCTTAAGGTGTACCAACTACCCTGGCACCTCGAGTCACAGCAGGTCTAAGTGCATCTTCTCCCACTGAGACCAGACAGGCAGCCCAGCTAGGGGAAAAGGATCCAACGGCAGACAACAAAGTCAGAGACAGCCCTGTTCTCATTGTTAGGTGGCTCACCATGCTGTACATCTGCTACATGTGTGGGGTCTGGTCCGGCCCATGCAGGCTCTTTGGTTGGTGGTTCAGTTTCTGTGAGCCCCCAAGGGCCCAGGTTCATTGACTCTGTAGGTCTTCTTGAGGTGTCCTTGATCCCTCCAGCTCCCTCAATTCTTCCTCCCACTCTTCCACAAAACTCTCAGACCTCAGCCTAGTCGTTGGACACACACACAAAATTTAAAAAAATAAATCTTAAAAAGTAAAATAAATTCTTTAAAATGATTTTTAAATTAACAGTCACAAACAGAAAAGGATATTGTGACAAAAGTACATCAGATTTTAAAATGTCAACTAGATATTTATTATTTGGTGAAGCGTTGTGAATACTCATGCTTTGACAGTATTTAGCCAAATCAGAGTCCATATAAGCCAGCATGAGGAAGACTTTAATTTGGTAAGATATAAGCAGAACAGTTAATTATTTCCTTCTCCTTTCACACTATCTCTGCTCCTTAATGAGATACCAGGCATACTCTTGTATATAGTGGATTTCTCTCTTGGCACACAGAGCCTCCTCTAGTGTAGCCTTGGAGACTGTCATGGAGGAGATGTTCAGTTTGAGTCTCTTGTTTTTCTTTCTTCTGCGGCTCAGAGCTGAGACCTGGGAGCATTCCACAACTGGCATGGAAAAGGAGATGGTGGTGTGTAAGACGGTATTTCTGTGCACAGCTAATTCCAAAGTAGCACCCACCCACCTCCCACCCCTGCCTTCCTTCCCACATATCTTTTTGGTGGCTTCTGGCTGAAGTTCCCATCTGTAAGAAAGGCTTCTCATTTTGCTGTGTTCATGGATGCTCAGTGTTCTGTTCTTTAGAGAAGTGGCTAGTGTAGGAAAATGTCAGCCATTGATCTGGAAGATGCAACACCCAAACAGAACAGAACAGGCTTCTTCTCTTCAGAGGAAAGCACATGGTACATCCACACTAGACAGCGCTTCTCATTTCCTTGCAGTACAGCCAAAGCCCCCTATTTGGAGTTTTTTCTTCCTGCCTCCAAGCATGTAGATGGAGCTTAGTGGAAGGAGTGCGGGCTCTGCACAGACTTTCATGAAAACCCCTAACATGTAAGTGTTAGCCAAATACTGGGTAAGAGTCTTTCGATGAGACCTTGAATTCAGCTCCCTTCCTTGAGAGGCAAGGTCTGCTTCCTTGGTGGCTATGCTGAGTCAGTTCTACAGGCCACCTTGAGAGTTGCATTTTCTGACAAGCAGTTCATTACTAACTCCCTAACAGCACCTATACTCACTGCTCCTTTCCTTTGACAATTTTCTCTGCCCACAGATGCAAATGCATTGAAAGGCCCAAGGCTGGCATCTGGGGAGACAGGAGGAGCTGTCACCATCCTTTGCCATTATGCTCCCTCCTCAGTCAACAGGCATCAAAGGAAATACTGGTGCCGCCTAAGGCCTCCTCTGCGGGCCTGCAACACCATCGTGTCCACGAACCACTACACTCACCACGACTACCGCGGGCGCGTGGCTCTCACTGACTTTCCACAGAGTGCTTTGTTCATGGTGAGGCTGTTCCATCTGTCCCTAGATGACATGGGACTTTATCGCTGCGGCATAGGAGACCGGAACGACATGCTATTCTTCAGTATGAACCTGATTGTGTCCACAGGTAAGAGCTGATGGATGGCTGGGGAGCCAAAGTTCAAAAGAAATGGGTACCAGAGAAAGCTCAAAAGCCCAAGGAAGCCTTAAGCCTTAGGCAATAAAAGGGAAATAGGAGAAAGGTCCAGGAGGTAGACTTTTGGTTTAGGTAGAGGTTGTCTTTAAAAAGGCAGATAGATAACTAGGGGAAAAGTGTCCAACAGAATATACATAAGGTCTCCCAGCTGGTCCTTTCTACCCTGAATGCTGCAGAATGTTTTTTTGAGCTAAGTTTCAAAAATGTCATGAGCTAGACAATGTGACTTATGTGATTCCAAACAACTAGGTGTTCAGTAATGCAAGGAGGCAGCACTGCCTAGTGCTCCACAGGAGGACAAAAGGTCTGGCGCTAGGCTTTTCTACAGCAGTCCTGTGCTGAGGGTCTCTGCAGACACCTGGCAGCTCCAAGGCTCTGTTCCAGAGGCTGGATCTGGACTCAGGCATGGAGGTGTAGCATGTGTGTGTGTGTGTGTGTGTGTGTGTGTGTGTGTGTGTGTGTGTGT